TATATATCTGTTTCCGCCCTTTCTACTGCAAAGACCCCCTTATATGCGTTTACGCCCTCTGTGACATGCATAATCCAATGAGTTGAGATGAGAGATTCGTACGTACGTACGTATAACCATACATTTCGTGAAATTTTCAATATCACTCCTACATGCATAACCTTAACACCAAATTCGGAAAATAGAAGAAGTAATTTATATATATCTATATTTAAATACGTTCTCATTGATTAGCTTAAGCCACGCAATTTTACACAAAACAAATTTGCTTCACCTGATAGAAATATAAATTTGCATTTAAAAATTTTTTAAAAATTTTCTCTTTTAATAGATTGCATCCAAAAAAATGTCTGGACCTTTACCACAGGGATGGGAACAACGGGTAAGCCGATAAACATTATTAACACGATAAAAGTTTTAGTCGATTCTTGGACTAATGCCCTTCATTTATATGTAATTAAATAGTTTGATGTGAAACAAAATCGGTATTATTGTGAGTTTTATTCTCCTAAACTTATTATATCTACTCGATTGCCGCGCATACATAATTCATAATAATACTGTTATTGTAGATGTTGATCTAGTTAATAAGAAAACAACTTGGGTAAATAGAATTTGCAAAAAGGGGGTTTAGAGGCGTTCTGGCCAAAATAGAGATTTTTAGTTATATTTCTAAATGCATGCTCCAGTGTGATAAAAATCTTAAGCATTAACATATGAGAAGAGCCCAAGCTTATTATTTGTTATATATAGAGTTTGGAATTTTCTATTACGAAGACTCCACATCATAATTGGTAAATTCTTTACGTTGTTAATTATTGTCGCGGATGATGCTGATTTTGGCTGATGGGGGTCGCTATTTAAATCTATTAAATCTGCTAAACTCTTTTATTAAACAACCCTAACCCTAAATTCCAACTTAACCCTAAAAAAAAATTATACAAAAAAGGCCCTAAAAATTTTTAAAATTCCATAATAAAATAGGTCCAAAAATCAAACATCAGCCAAAATCAGCCGTGACAATTATTTAACGATAAATTTCCTATTTTTCGCTATAATCAAAATGATTAAATGTTAATATTTACATACAGTTAAAATTTGTCTCTAAGCCCCCTTTTGCCGTGTAATGACACATCTTTTTTTAAACGTTCAATTTAATGATTATGTCTTCTCACAATTTATAAAAAATAGTATGATCCACGTCAACAATCGAATGTTATTCAACAACCACAAATTGTTAAGGTTATTTCTGCTGGAAATGGTCAATTTCAACAACCGCAACCACGCATCATTAATGTGGTTTCTGCTGGTAGTCAATTTCGACAAGTAATTCAGCATCAACAAAATACCGTAATTACTGCTGCTTCTAAACCTAATTACATAACAAATCAACAACAAATTTATTCTAATAATGTTTATAATGGAATTCCTACTCAAGTAGTGTCAAGTAATGGTGGCCAAATTTACGTTGCACCAACGACAGGAAATATCGTTGTGAATCAACAGCCAGTACATGTTGTGAATCAACAGCCAGTACATGTTGTGAATCAACAGCCAGTACAAGTTGTGAATCAACAGCCAGTACAAGTTGTGGTAATGCCACAAAATAGTCATATGGACCAACTTAATACTACGGGACAAGTTAATTATACAACTAATTCGTCAAATATTAGTATGAATAGTAGTGGGAATTCTCATCAAAATCATAATGGAATTTCTCATCAAAGTTATTGTGCAGCTTCTCACCAAAATTATGATGTAACTTCTCATCAAAGTCATTGTGTAACTAGTCAAAGTTATTGTAAAACTCCTCACCAAAGTCATGGAACTTCTCACCATCATAATCAGAACAATTATAATACAAATTCACATGATCTGATGAGTACACAAAGTGAGAATTACCAAGACAACCAATACGGCGATTATCAGGATAGATATGTAAATATATATTTTTTCATATTGTGATTTTACACCTCTGAATTTATTCTAACTTAATGCATTGTATTTATAGAATGTTGATGATTCAGGAGATGTTTATGATATGAGTTCTTTAAATAACGCCTTAAATAATGTTAGTTTTGATATGTCACAACAACAAAAATTCCCTCAAAATCGTAATCAAAATGCTAATATATCACAACAGCAAAAAGTTAATAATCAAAATACTAATAATGCTAATATGTCGAAAAAGCAAAAGTTGCGCCTGTCACAACAACAACAACAACAACAGCAAGAAATTCGCCGGATGCAACAACAACAACAACAACAGCAAGAAATTCGCCGGATGCAACAACAACAAGAGCATGAAATTCGCATAATTCAACAACAAGTGCAGTTTAATCTAGAGTTAAGCAAAATGTATGCTAACATGGGGAACGCAATTTCAGACTTAGTTTAAATATGCACTCTAAGCACGTTTATTGACCCAAGTATAGTGCTTATTCGATTAATTGATCTTATAACGATAATGAAGTCTTATTAAAGTACAATAGTCTAAATAGAGTATATTTAAATTCTATAGTACTATAGGTTTTTTTTTTAAAAAAAAAACCTTTGCTAGTACTGTATATATATGAACAGTGATGTGCATTAGAAGCTTTTTGAAACTTTCGAATGTTCATAATTATCAAGTAAATCCTTTTTGTAATTTCAATTAAAGATAACTTTTTTTTAATATGACTAGGCACTTGAAATATCGTAATTTTTACTATATATATTGCAATAACTGTATCATATTTTACATGTCACTTTTAGGTGCTTTAGATAATGGTGGTGGTTTATTAGTGGTTACGCCAACGTTTGTTTGGATAAAATTATTTGGTTGGAATAGGAAAAAAATCAAAATTTTAAGATAGAGTAAGCTTAAAGGTTTTACAGAAAAGTTTGGGATATTTTATTTTAATTTTTGCCCTTTCGTGCTTGGGATGCTTTAAATGCTTTGTTAACAGTTTGGCCATTATTATTTTTTTTTTCTATTATTGATAAAAAATATTTAACTGTATATGTTATGCTTCATTTTTAAATTCTGTCAATTATTAATTGACGCATGTCATTTTTCGATTGAAAAATGACATACGTCGTTTTTCAATCGATATGAAATTTGCGGATTAAAAAAAAAAAAATTGCCGGAAATATTTATTTATAAATTAAATTAAATGCTAATTGACTACGTAAAACGCATCCATAGCATTTTGAGTAAAATGATGATTTCGTGCTGCAATTCGTTTTTCGGCAATGACAAGAACCTGGACGAGGTCTTTGACTTAAACCAATATTCCATTATTACTTCAGTTAAAATTTATATTAGCGTTAATAATATTTTTATTGAATTTAAAATTTTTTTTTTCCTTTAAAAATGTGCAGGAGTGTTCTTAAGTTGGGCGTTCAATACTTAATGGTATTTCAATATGTTGATAGTGGAAATCTTTATAAGTAAGTACCAAATATTTTTACTATGATTTTTATCTCTTTATAGTTACAATTGCCTTATAGTCACTATCCCATTTTTTTTATAAATTACTCTCTATTTATTATATCATTATTATAAATATTCAAAATAATATTTTTATTTTAAACCATTTTAAAAAAAAAATTTTTTTTAATTAATCGATGATCGTAGCTACATAGTAAAGTCAAAATTTTTATGGGTAAATCGATATTAGTGTCTTAAAGTTATTTGGGAGAACAAAATACATGTACTGCTTAATTTGGTATAATTTGGATAACTTTTTACTAATTAACATTGGTTCTTTACATTTGTGCTATGCTAGTAAAAAT